CTGAAATACAACAGTAGAGATTTTGAACCATGATATCGTCATTGTGGCTGCTTCACCCTGTTGATAGTGTTAATGTCGTTTTGTTTGAACATTTTACAACTAAATTTGGCCACATCTTCTATTGCACCTTTACAGCACAACCACCAAAGCTGACATTATAAGTAATTAGCTAATGTTCGGTTTCATTCGACTCATTTGCACTTAATGTTAAAAAGCTTGAGCTCACCTTGCTCGTATTGACCATTTCGATGCTCATAATAAGGTTACGTTGCTGATTTGACTTTATAGTTACAAACTATGCTTGGATAGATTAACTTGACAATATGATTATGGACATTGGATCTTGTAGAAATATTGATTGCTTTACGATTACAATGATTTGTCTCGTGAATAACAAATGGATATCATCTGGTTATCTAATCTTTTTGTAGTTTGCTTCCCAGTTTTTTCATTACAGGCCCTAGTAGATGTTGCACTGTTAATTAGTGAATGCAGTCTTATTGATTTATAACCGGTTTGTGGATACACTGTTGTGTAGAAGGTTAAAAATCCGTCAGACGGCGTGCGGACTTCCATTTCTCAGCTGCCGTGGTCATGTGATGTCTCTTTGTCATATGCAATAGACTAGATAAACTAGCCCATTTGGGAAGTATTCGTTAGGATCAGGTATTTTCACTTACTTGAACTCACTGGACTGCTCAGTGGAGACCAGGTTTCAGTTCTACTTGAGCAGGACCACGTTGCTTCTGCTATCCATCTTCAGTCAGCCATAATGTTGGCAGGCTTTGGTGGGTTTACATACCGCAGCTTAGGGGAAAAAGGGAAGCAACGTTAAAAGCAGCGTGGTTATTGGTCAAGTGCCTGTGGTTGGTTCAGTAGTGTTACTGATTTTAATTTATATTCGTTACAGGGAAGTGTATAATATATGTACATATATGTACGAACATAGGCAGATGGAATATTTTTCTCCTACTGAAGTGAGGGGAACGGATGCGCAACAAGAGAGCCCTAACCTATGCGATTCTTAAGCACCGGCAAAAACACCAGAAGCAGCACTTCTCGCCCCTGCGGTGTGATGCATGAGTCAGAGCAGGATATTTTAGACCTGAGTTTCTCCCATACGCTCTATGCATCGCGACAAAATTACACACATGTACAAACAAGAGTCACAGTTAGGCACAGCACAGTGCAAAGGAAACGAGGCTGCTGCATATCAATCACGCCGGCGATCAATGTGTGCGGCGTCGCGGCTTGTGCGGCTTAAAGCTCTCTGTCTGCTGAGGTTGATTTTGTTAGACGTAGGCTTTTTGCACGCTCTGTGGTGTGGATCATTAGGAATAGTTGCTCCCATTGAGACGGCTTGGCCTTGGTTCGATGTTAAGCAGGAACATATTGGGCGCTCCCGTCGTTGGCTGCCTGGTCTCTGCGGTTGCCGTATCATGCCGCTACGAAGGCAGCGTCGGACCTGTATTAGCATTAGGCCAGACAAACAGCACTTTATAAATCCAGGGTGACTGTCACTGTATGGCAGTAGAATTAGGAAGATTGCACCTAGTAAAGGAGAATAGTTAAATAGTACTTAGAAAATTCCTGGAGAACTTTTGAACGTGCCTGCTGCTGGTGCGTGTTATACTTCACTCCGTCAAGTATCAAGTGCTTTACAAAGGACATTACATTGAGTCTCATTCATGGTGCGTAGAGACTCATTCCTTGACACTGATCTGCAGTCACTGCAGGTTGTTCGCCTTCTCTAAAAGCCTTTTGAAGCTGTCATGACTGGCAAAATAACCTCACGTCTGAGGTTTCAAACAAAATTTGTCCCCACAACCACAGCAAGACATGTGTATACACACATGTACATGCCCTAACAGAAGCTGATCTGCAATAAAGCTCTACCTCTATATCCCCATACAGAGAGATAGATGAGTCATTTTATGAAACGGGAGCCATTTGGGTCCGGAACATCTTGATGAGATGCATAAGGCACAAAATGTGCAAA